CTTCCTGTAAAGGGTTTTGGGCTTTTTGGGTTAATTTCTTGGGGTAGGGAGAAAAGTTAGGTAGGATTTAATTTTTTTTTGGGGGTTTTCATTTCCAGAAACATTTTAAACCATTGTGAAACTCCTTGGGGAAAGTTTGCCCATTTAAACAAAACGGGGGGGGTTCTTCCCCCGTTGGGGGGGGGGGGGTTTTTAAACCCCCCAAAACATATTTTATTCGCCCCCCTTTTGGTTTCCACCCAAAAAAAAAAAGGGGGTAAAAAAAAAAAAACGGTACCCTGGTTGTGGATTTCAGAAAGTAAATTGGTTTTTTTTAAAAGGTGGTTCCCAAGGGAGAAAAACCCAACCCGGAGGGCAACCCCGGAGGGGGGGGGGGGGGGGGGGTACTCATTTGTTGCTTGCCGTGGTCATTTGACCATTGACCACGCGTCCCTTTCGAGAAGGAGCACCGTTCCTACACCTACTAGAGACACCACCAACATTTGGGAGCTCTTTACGTTTCTGCCACAAACTCCATAAAAATTTCTTGCACATCTTATCCCCGTCCTCTAGGGCCTCTTGTGCCCACCATCTATTCCCAATTATCGCGATCGTTTTTTCGCTGTTGTCTAATTTACCAAACTTGTCCATGTCACACCCTCTCTGTCTCATTTCCTCCTCGAGATCCTCTCTTTCCTTCCTGTACAACTCACACTCCCCAACTATGTGGGGTCTACTCTCCTCCGATTTGCCACATGGACATGTGTGTCTATCCTCCTCTTCCTCTCTCCTACGGCTGGTATACCTCTTCCTCCGTTCTGGCAAGTCCAGATCGCCTACTCGAAATTGCAATTTCAGCTTTTTCGCATAGTCCATGGGGCCGTCCAAGTACTTCTTCATCCCTATCCCTTCTTTCAACTTCCCGTATATCTCCAAGTGGTCTTCGCTTCGTACCTTCTTCCGAAGGGTTGCCTCCTCCCTACTCTCTAGCATCTCCTTGACTTTCGTCTTGAACCCCCCGAACTCTTCCGTGTCCAACGTCTCCTCCTCGTCTCCTATCTCCTTCCAAACCTTCTCTACCACCTTGTCCCAT